CCTCTGGACCTGGCTTTTATCCAAATTAGTTAATATAGCTCAAGTTGGTACAGCTGAACCAAAATTGGATTCAAATTGAATTCAAAATAAAACTACTTTGTGCAGCGGGGACAGGGCTATTCTTACATTTTGTATGGTGGGAAAATATTTTCTGTTACATTAGCTACATTTTGAAGTTACAGATCAACCTGAGCAGGTACTACCACATGCATGCAATAGACTTGTAACGATTGTACCAAATCATTGACTTAAATCCATTTACCCATGGTATAAGCGCAACTACAGACAACTGTGGCGTAATAATAATTATTGAATATGTTTTGAGGCAATGCCTTGATGAAAATCTTGCATCTATTAATACAAGAAAATGAAGAAAACTTCAGGTCATCTGTACCATATTTGGATACACTCAATGACCTGATACGTGAATTGACAGTTTTCATTGGTCAATCAGTCACACAGTATCATAATCAATGCATAATTTTGCTAGCTTCTTTTGGAAAATTAGATTTCCAATTTGATGCAAAAAGTGATGCATTAACGGCAGACAGAAATTCAGGACAATTCGTTTGAGATGTCACTGGACTTTTTGTAATTATTTTTTAATTTCACCTGCCAGGGCTAATTAGTAAGTGGGGATCATATGTTGATGATCTTGTATTGGCATAGGTGTGTAGGATAATGCCATCAGAAAATTAATTGACTGACATTTATCTCATATTCAATCAATTTTCAAATATTCCATTAATTCCTAAACAACAAAAACATGATTTCATTAGCGTGCAAGTAATTCACACACTAGTAAAAGGAATTGTTTTCAAAACTATTGAGTTTTTATAGTTTTCAGTGCATGGCATAGGAATTTCTTTTTTACAGATGTCTATTTCAGAGCAACAGAAACCAAAAACGTAAATGTGTAGGTGGGCACTGAAATGATGTTCCAAAATACTTAGCTAATGAGTTGATTTTGTATACAGATGTGTGTTATCACTGACAAGAAATATGCATCTATATCCAGGTGTATCTTTCAGATATACACAGTACATGATTACTATGCAGCAGTGTATTTGGTAATAAACCTGTTTACTTTTTGGTTGATAATGAAATCGTGATGTAACCTGACAATAATACCTATATACCGGTAATACTAGTATACATCTTAACGTATTTGTTCTATTACAAGTTCATGTTCAATAGAAGTATGGTCCATTAGAAATGCATCTTCAAGTACATGCAAGGTCAAAATACGTTTTTTTTTTTGTATTTTGAAAGCAAAACTGACAAAAGGATCAAGAAATGCTGGCGTATTTAATATGACATTTACATATTAGAGTGCATGGGATTCTAATAGCAAATAGGGTATCCAATTGTTGTCTAAGTGACTTGTTCTGACAGGATGTTGGCAATAATCACGTTATAAAGTTCAGCATGCAGTGTGATTTGTCAGGGTTAAAAGAAAACCTACTGTAACATACAGTGTAGGATTACTTTATCAAGATTAAGAGGTTCAAATTTCTTGAAAAACTTTTTAACCAAAATTAGCTTTTCTGCACTTGATTGGTGTTCATCAAAATATAATGTGGAACAAAAACGATTTGGCAGAATATGAGTAAAACTAAATCACATGGACACAAGCATTGAGATAATGATCAATCTTTTTTTGAGGCAAAATCGCTCAGAGATAAATGGCGCCTGTCAAAAAACCAGAGTTGAAATCGATAATCCGGATTAAACATGAAAGAACTTATCTAAGGATTATCCATCGTTTTCCATTGGAGTTCATTTCCTCACCTCAGCCTGTAATAACCATGGCATTGTAATACCTACCTTTTGTGTCGTTCTCTCAATACTCTCAATTCTTCTTTACATTTAGCCAAGTCGTTTTCTGCTCGTAACGTGCTTTGCAGATAATCCGTCTCCATCATTGTGATTCGTTTTTTACTGTCTTCTACCCGTTTCTTGAGTTCCTCATATTGCTCTTTACTGCAGCCGCACAACTACGAAGTACAAACAGAAGTATACCGCTTAGTAAATTTACATGGAAATAAAATAACCCTTCTACATCATAGGCACTTCCCTATTGTCACAGTTCATGAAATATCTTTTTCACCAGACTTATGATCATGTTGTGTAAATATATCACAGTGAATCAGCCTGGTAGGAGAGAAATATGTAGAAAAATATAATGTTTTCACCATTAACAAAAATAAACCACATAAACACAAGTAATGCAAAGCAATGTAACGTAACTACATTTGTATACCATCCAATAATGAAGACACAGACTGATATACGAAAGACACAAGAGGAAATAACAGTAGTGTGGTTGTAGCACTGAAGAACTTCAGGCCAGCTAGGCAGACAGTATGAATAAATTATGAAGAACAGTTTCAAGTGAAGCAGCTCATTAAAATCCTTCAAAGTAAGAAGCCATCACAATGTATGCAGATATTGAAACGTTTCTATTAATCCCAGTAGGGTAAATTGAATTGATTGGTTCGGGTGAACGTACATCTTTTCCAGACAAATTATTCCACCTATATTACTTTTAAAATAATCAATTATGAGAACAACTCCATCTACTTCTCAATTGCAATCTTGTCAACAGAAAGAAAGGTTGAACATTTGAGATTTTGCATAAATTACTGATTTTACTATCCATGAAACAATCCATTAATAAGCAAATTAAATGGTATTATGTAAATCAGCTGTTATGCAAATTAGTAACCATGTTGTAAGGTTCACTGGGATCTATGTATACATATAAGTGTTGGTACCAGTA